AGCATCCTAATTACATCAACATTGTCCTTTGTGACTCATACTGCAGATTTCCAATCAAAATGTCTCTGATGAGGGAAGCTGCATTATGGCAATCAAGCAGCAGAACAACATCTCTAAATAATCCCAGCTTGTTCAACATCCCAACTGCACTGTAAAAAGGTGATCTAAACAGCTAAATATGGCAGGAAAGCACACATCACTATGTGAACAACTCTGGCTTAGATAGCTGATGAGGAGCAATTAAATATGTCTGAGAATTGCCAGAGTTCAGTACACATTACCCATGGAACCACATAATGATGAATGATCATAAAGAAAAGGTGAGAAAATATACTTTATGCCTGTTAATATCTTCCCTGCATGCCCTGTTTTTATTATTATTATATTATCTTTTTTTTATCTTTTTTTTTTTTTTTTTTTTTTTTTTTTTTTTTAATTTAAGTGAATGGGGAAGCCTAAACTTGCATCTACCTTAAGTTCCTGGGAACCACAGCATTGTGAATTCACAAGAACCAGAGCTTCCATTTTCCCAAGGAAATACGATTCTAGCAATTGCAGCTGTAGAGGAAAGCTTGAAAAAGCAACCTAGTGTACCACAAAAAATAAGATAAAAAAATACAGTACTGATTACAAGAAATCCTATTATGGAATTGTGGGAAAGCAGCTCCCGACTTTCAGTGTCGGGTACTTCCAATACAGCTTACAGAACTCAGTTCTTTTTCTCTCAAGGTAGAAGACTTTTAGCGTGGAAAGTTTTAAATAGTCCCAAAAAATGCTTCCTCTCCCTCCCCCCCTCCCCCCCCCTTTTTTTTTTAATTTCTCTTTTAATGTCACATGGATCCAAACCATTACTGCAGACTACTTTGTGTTTGGAGCAAAATTATACTAAGTATACTTGGCTGTGATACTTCATTAGGAATTGATGTAGAAATTGAGTAGGCTCAGAGTAGAAACATATTTGAGTGATATTCTCTGTATTTTGGAACACATCTGAGAGGTGGAATGGGTATGGTCTGAATTGCTTTAGCTGTATTACTGTCACAGAATGACTATTATACTTCACAGAAATTTTTCTTTGGTTAGATGTTCCTGTGCTGCATGCTAGGGCTATGCTAGATAGCATATGCTGTGAGGTATTTTCTGCAGTCTCTTGTTAGACTATTTTTCTCCCCAACTTAACCATAACATCAGTGGTGGAGAGTCCCATCCTCTCTGGAGTACCCCAGGACACTGGGATGACCAAGTCATATGAGGAGCGGCTGAGGGAGCTGGGATTGTTCAGCCTGGAGAAAAGGAGGCTCAGGGGTGACCTTATCTCTCTCTACAGGTACCTCAAAGGAAGCTGTAGCGAGGTGGGGGTTGGTCTGTTCTCCCACGTGCCTGGTGACAGGATGAGGGGGAATGGGCTTAAGTTGCGCCAGGGGAATCTTAGGTTGGATCTTAGGAAGAACTTCTTTACCGAAAGGGTTGTTAGACATTGGAACAGGCTGCCCAGGGAAGTGGTGGAGTCACCATTCCTGGAAGTCTTTAAAAGACGTTTAGATGTAGAGCTTAGTGATATGGTTTAGGGGGGACTGTTAGTGTTAGGTCAGAGGTTGGACTCGATGATCTTGAGGTCTCTTCCAACCTAGAAATTCTGTGATTCTTTGTGATTCTGTGACCAGGACCTCTCCTTAAGCTTGTTTCTTCTCTGAGAACACTGTACCACTGCTGTCTGTACAGGACTGCTGTTTGGTAGAGAGAGAGCAATACCTGTGGTTTGCATGCAGTGTTATAATCACTGTCCCCATTGCTATAACATGAAGAAAGGTGAAGAACAGTTTTCTTTTGTGATAGTGAAAAAATTTTCAGAAATTCTGCGGGGGGAAAGATATGCAGAAATAGAAAACACCCTGTTTCAGAGTTACTTATAAATATCTAAAAATGTCTGATTTCTTATTTCATTCAAAAAAAGACATCAGGATGCTTACAGAGCTCTCACCTCTGGGATCCACTTCTGGGCAAGACCCCCATCCTGAGAACTGTCAGTACTGATCAGGATGCTGACCTGCAGCACGTCTTCCCAAATGCACACATCCTCCCCATTCACATTCTACTCTCTTCCACAGAATTTCCTGTAATTCTCAAACTTAATACTTAATCAAGGTATCAATTTTTAACATTGCTCCTAAAGGATTTCTAGCTGTTACAGCATAGGTTTGGAAATGACAATATCTCTAGGGTGTAGTTAGAACTGTTGCCTGGCCAAACCGTCAACAAGCTTTTTCAGAATAACTGTGGAAAGCATAATGACTGGGCTTGTATTTAATTTTGTGGTGAACAAAAGATTTATCTCACTCAAATAAAATCCTCCCTCTAGACCAACAGGGAGAAGTTTATCTCAGTAAAAATTCATTTACACATTTAAAATATCATTTAATCCCTTTACACGGAAAAGCACTCTTTAGACTACCATAAAAGAGAAGCCATAATCATAGTTTTGGCAGAGATTAAATACAAGAGGAACCAACTAGGAGGATACTCGCAGTTTCAGTGTGGATGATGCTGATACCTAGTTTGCTTGGGTGTTGGGACAGGTGCTGGTGACACTGGCAATTCAGATCTTCTTCCTGCTTTAGTTTCCTTGAATTTAAAATGAAGTTAAAAATACTTGCCTTCTTTGTAAAGTGTTCTGAAAGTACTTACAGAAATTACCATGTAACTAAGATCGGTTCCCTTGTACTGACTGAATCTTCTGTTAACCAATTAATTGAAATCTGTGCTTGCTTTGTGCTTGCAAATCAGCACAGATGAGATCCACCAGAGTGGAAAAATAAAAAACAAATTATGGTCTATCAAGATACATTTTAATATCAGTTTCATGCCATGTGCAAGAAGTAGGTTGCACTGATTGCAGAAGAAACTCTGATATGCTCTACTGATAGACTAGTAGGTCCATATCATCAGATTATAGCCTTGGATTGCTTGCCCTCTAAATAAGCCCAAATCAAGCCACTCTATTTCAGTGATGGTGCGAACAGAAACTGTAATCTAGCTGATCTGATGTACCTGACCTTTAGCATGATGTCAAGAGGGCCAGCTGTGCAGATGACCTTAAACACAGCCCAGGGCAGAACTAGCTTGCTCCCTGAGTATGGCCAGAGCAGTGTTACAGCACAGATCTTACACAGCACAAATGTCATGACAGTCCTTATGAAAAAGAGATTCTTAAGGTTTCCATTAATTTGTGCAAAAGGACAATGAGGTTCTCTCATTGTGACTTCTCTCACAAGGCACACATAGGTGATCACACATTGCTAGGCACTTGTGTCAAGGCCTTGCCATCTGAAAGACTGCTGTGCACTTTCTTTGATGGACACCAAGACTTTTAGGCTGGTAGAAGCAACCTCTGTTCTGGTATCGCTTCAATACCTGGAAGAAGCATTTCTTAGTCTTAGGATGATATAAAGAAGGAATAGGTAGAACTGATGGTTACAGAGGAAGAGAGGAGTAGGTAAATACACTCAGAGCTGATATATAGTACAGCTATTATTTTTACATTTCCTCTCCCTTTGTATTATATCATATGTTTAGATCAGTCAATATGCTATTAAAAGGCAAACGTTAAATGAAGATATATTTGCTACAGGAATATAACCCAATCTTTCATTCCACTTTCTGAGATATAGGAGTAGGTAATATCAACAGTCTCTCTTCATCTGCTCATTACTACAATTCAAGTATTTTTATCTGGCATAGATCTTAAAACAAACAAACAAACAAACAAACAAACAAAAAACTACAAAGAAGTAGACTGTAACACAGATATACATTAGTAAATATATATGTATTTATGGAGATATGTCCCATATTACCCCTTTACTGCCTGTTAGTATTGTACTAGAGCATCTATCAAAACAGAATAAGAAATAATTGTTTTGGAAAGGATTATAAAGTTTCTAGTGGTGATGGACTCTATATTTCCCAAGGTAGAAGTTGTCCCTTCCTGTGTTCTTTTCAGCTGTTTCAGATTATGTCTCCAAACCATGATTTTCAATTCAAAGCTCTTTTGATAGAACGTATGAATTATAGTTGTTATCACATGAAAGCCCCTTTTTTTTTTTTTTTCTGAATAGTAACTTTAAAATTGCCCATTGAAAATCTGTAAGAACACTTTCTTTGTAAAGTCATAATCTTGTTCTATAACATAGTCAAAATGGCAACCGGGAAGAGTGAAACCCATGATTTTGACATTACTTCAGAATTTCTTAAGAGAATTAAAAAAGGAAGAGCTAGAAGAAATAAAAAATGTAATGATCAGAAGATTAAATCTTAATGGTCAACAAGTGCTTCCATTCCTCTCTGAAGACTCATGTATAAAATTAATTTTTAAAGCTTCTTTTATAGTATTTTATAACTGTTTTACATAGTATGTTATATCTACTTTATACAGAGTGCAAGCAAACCACTGAATTTTAAACTATCAATTAATTAAATATAATGAATTTTAATGGAACACAGAAATAAATTGTTGCATCTTACAATTTTCATCTCATAATGATGGCCACATTAAAATTCCTTATTAATACATCTAGTGGTTTTAAAACCAGTTATAATTTAAACTATTGTTATGAATCTTAGCTTTCTCATATAAATCTTCCTTGAAAAATGTAAATGCTAAATTTAGTTTGCAGAATATGTTGCACATATAATATAAAGTCCCAAGTCAATGAAATGCACTAGGGTCCTCTTTGCAGAAGTACTAAGGGGGTACCCTTTCCAAAAGCCGGTATCATCTATATGCTTTAGAAATCTATCCCAATTTTCAAAACAAACCTAGGCATTTAAATTGGGACTTCATTATCTTAAAAATTAGGTGTCTGTTCTAAAGTTTACATATAATCTACATCGCATATTAAAGAAGAGAGAGGGATATTTCTCACTAAGCCATATGTCTCATCATAAGATAACTATCTTGGACATTATATGCTTATTTCTCTGAGAGAATTGAGAGAACTTACTTCCCCTTGTAATGGAGAATCATTAACCCTCTTTTGGTCTTAGGTCAGTCCTTTCTGGGTTGGAAGGTGGGGGACGCAAGTTGCAGCTGGATATAACGCTGTTCTGGAAAACAGAAGAATCAAATCCAAATCCCTTCTGCGTTTGATTTAGTTTATTATCTTTTACGCAAGAGCTTAACAGCTAAGCCATAAGGAGGCATTCAGAAATTAAGATCTCAGTGCATCCCAGAGCGAAACTTAAGTACTTGACTACTGCAGCAGACCTAACCAAGCTATTCTGGTTGTGGAGGTGAACATCCTCCCTCTATGACACATCACAGAATAAAGCAGTTTAATGTGAGAGCCTGGAGATGGTGTAAATCTCTACTTCAGATTCTCAAACAAAACAAAATTTAATTAGTGATATTGTAAATCAATAACTTCAGCTACTTGTCAAATAGATGTTCTTCCTCTAACTCCATGCCAACTGGCAAAGCTTAGACAAAACTGGTAATGAAGTCTGAGTATGCAGGTAGCACAGGGAAAATCCATTTGGATTTGACGATCCTATCAGGAGGTGCTCCAGGCACTGGATCAGCAGTTTCCCCTGCAGCCTGTGGAGAGGCCCCTGGTGGAGCAGGCTGTCCCCCTGCAGCCCATGGGTCCCACATGGAGCAGATCTCCATACTGCAGCCCGTGGAGGAGCCCCCAGTGGAGCAGGTGGATGTGGCCTGGAGGAGGCTGCAGCCTATGGAGAGCCCCCACAGCAGCAGGGCCCGGGCCAGAGCTGCAGCCCGTGGAGAGGAGCCCACGCAGGAGCAGGGGGGCTGGGGGGAGCTGCTGCCTGAGGGAGACCCATGCTGGAGCAGTTTGCTCCTGGGGGATGGTCCCAGTGGTATGGACCCATGTTGGAGCAGCTCTTCAAGAGCTGCTGCCTGTGGGCAGCCCCTGCAGGCTCAGTTTGGGAAGGACGGCATCCCGTGGGAGGGAACCCACGTGGAGCAGGGGCAGAGAGGGAACATGAAGGAGCGGCAGAGGCGAAGTGTTAGGGACTGCCCACAGCCCCCATTTCCCTGTGCTGCTTGGGGGGGGGGAGGAGGTAGAAGAGGGTGGATGAGGGGAAGTTGTTTTTAGTTTGTTTTGAGTTTCTCACTGCTCTACTGATATTAATTGGCAATACATTAAATTTATTTTCCCCAAACCAAGTCTGAGACAGTAATTGGTGAGCCATCTCCCTGTCTATTTCTACAAGTGCCTGAAGATCAAATGTTTTCTGTTTATGTCAGAATCATTTAACGCGCCAGGGCAATTTTCTAAAATTTTTGGGTACTGTTCATTAATTTACATTCATACCTTCAAATTCTGCCTTGTCCTTCCCTTGCACTTGCTTTTCAAAATGAAATTTTAGGAAAACTGTTATACAAGGTGCTTTTAAAAACCACCCTTCCCTTTCCTAGAAAAATGCAGAGTTTCTAGTCATCTTTTTTTTTATTATTATTATTTTCATAACAACAGGTTTACATAAAATGTCATGTACAATAAATAAAGAAAAGGGAGAATGTAAATGTTAGCCTTTTAGGGTTTTGATATGTTTGAAAACCGAATCCAATTATACCTCCATATTTGCAATTCTTTATCCTAATAAAGTTGCCGTGGGTGTTTTCTGCTATTTATACCATGAAAACATGAAGAAACAGCATGATTATTTTCAGATTTGTGTTTAGATTTTTTTTTCACATCATAATCACATGAGAAAACTGCTTGAATGTATTCAATATTAAAATCAGCAAATAGTTTTTAAAGGAGAGAAGGTAATTAACTTCCCTTTTTAATGATGCTTCTAATTTAGATTATGCATGAGATGTATCATAAGTGAGAGAGATTTCACAGGAAAAGACTGTTCTGTAGCTAAAGTACTAAACTCAGAATCAATACAGTTTGATTCTGTTTTCATGTCTTCAGCAGACTTGCTGTGTGACCTTAACCAAATTATTTAATTATTCTGCTCCACAGTTTATCTGTAAAATTGAAATAATGACGGTCAGATTACTGAGAGGATGTGAGGATTAATTATTTAATATTTACATCTTCAGATAGAATAGAGTTAGAATTGCAGCATATGGTGAATGGTTAACATTATTTTGCTACTACCAAATTCTCAAATAGTAGCCTGGCTATTTTATTGTACAGAAATATTAATTTTTTATAGTCTTGCATCTGACAACTACTCTTCCTGAAATGTGTTAAAAAACAAATATAAAGTCCTTCTCTTGGCTTTTAAATCTAATTAATGCCCAAAGTACTCCCAGAAGGGGTAGAGAACAGTACTGTTCAAGTCTACCTTTGTTGCTCCCACCTGCCAGTTCCACAGAAGGACGAGTAAAAGATATCTTCCAGATAATATATATTTACCACAATTCAATTGTTAAAATAAACACCACTACCACAGAACAAAACAACAACAAAAAGAAAGAAAGAAACAAACAAAAAACACCAAACCAACCAAACAGAAAAACCCAACACAGAAACACACAGTGCATTCACTACAGGCTTATAATGCAGGTCCTGGAGACCTAAATAAATAAATAAACTAAACACTTTCTGCTTCTGGCCAGAGCTGGCAATTATACTCACAGGAAACAGACAAGATTTGTTTTGAAGGTGAATGTCTCCTGAAGTACAGATCTGTCCCACACAGAATCTGGCTACCTCAGATGTTATTCTATGCAAATCTTTCAGTCAGTGGTTAAAAGAAGAAGGCTGCATATATACCCCAAATGCGTATGAAATGCACTCTAACTGATGATGATGAATTGTCATCATCAATTGATAATTGATAATTGGCAATTACACAGCAATATTAATGATGTACAAGTACTACCATTTTGAATCAACAAGTAATTGCCAGCAAACGTCTCTAAAAATTTTCAGCATAGTTGTATTCAATATACTGAGTTAAATGGCCTTTTTAATTCAAACACTTTCTTGACATTATTGGCTGTACTTTATGGATTATTACTTTGAACTGGAGTGTGCTGATAAAGGTCTTCAACTTCTTCAAATATCTGATGCAGCTGAGCAAGTTGAACTTCCCACCTGTTTGATTTATCAATGCAAGCTAGAGGAAGGTGGTATGTATCCTTTCTGGTATTAAAAGGAAAGGAGACGGTGAGTGGATGATTGCTATCCCCATGACCATATCCTAGGATGAGTCCTGCATACAAATACCTGCTCCTTATCACAGGCAGGGCACACAGCAAAGTCTGGGTTAGCTCACAGCTCAGCTGTGGTCTGCTCCCGCATACGTGCAAGAAAAAGTGATTTTAACTGTAGTGCTGAGGCACAGCTTGGAGAACTAAGAGCTCATGCAAATACTTTGGAATAAAAAGAGAAAGCAGAACTTCATTCTTTCCTAGCAAGGCACCCAACACATTTAGAATAGATTATACTGAAATGCAATGATTTTAACTCTTGTGCCTGAGGATGATGCCAATAAAAAGCAGCTATTATCAAACATAGATTAATATGAAATTTTTACAAATGGTTCATTTGTAAGAAAGAGGTCCCTGGTGAAAGGCAGGTTACTCAAGTAAGCTGTGAGACCATCCACCATAGTTTTTCACCCAGGAGTAAAGAGCATGAATTAGCCTATGATCTTACAGTGATGTCACAAGCAAAAATTAAACATTGTGAAACAAGCAATCTATAAGGTTCTTGAAGCTTGATGTCCAACAAAATCCCAATAGAATAAACTGTCTAAAATGACCTTTCTTATTACCTCACATTCTGTGAACACTGTGACACAGATAATTTAAAATAGCCTAACCCATATAAACACGATGTATGTGTATAAACACTTCTCATTTTTGACTTGAATCTCTCCTGATATTTTACTTATCTCTATTACCTTTGGGGTCAGAAGCTTTGTTTTTGAATAACTGTATAGCCTGCCTTGCTGTAAACAAGCATTAAGACCCCTACCTGATTGGGGAAGCTTGTATTTCTTGGTCTTGATGAGCAAATGCAAGACTCACAAGTTCCCCAACATAAAAAAATAAGAGTAGGTGTACCTCTGAAGCAATTTGTTTCTTGTACGACTGCTGCTCAGACATAGAATCGTACATTATGCAGCCAGAAAAAAAATCACACAAAATTTCCCTGAGTTTTTCTCACATAGAAATGAATGGGATTTGAGCATAATTCCCATTGAGCTAAATTTTCTACAAAGCCTTATTCTGGTTCATAACAGCAAGAAAAACCTGATCTGCTGATTCAAAATAAAAGCAAACTCTCCAAATAATTATTTTAAAGGACAGTACCAAGTTTTCTGATAATTTTGTTGTTTTTGGTCAATCACCTTACAGAACATTATTATGACCTGATAGGATATACAAAAGGCAGTGAAATCAGAGCAGCAAAAACTCGTAGTTAAATACTGCTCTCTTTACTTTCAATGAACAAGATCAATTCATTCTAGGGCCAAGGTCTTTTTGTCCAGTAAAAATTTGCATGCTCTTGCTTTAGTATGCAGAAAAGTCTAATGCCGCTATTCAAAAATAAACAAATAAATGAAATTTCTTTAACACAGATAAAAATCTAATGTGATCGTAAAAACAAAACAAACAAACAAAAAAAAGTAACAATAAATAAAACCAAGGGATTAGGACACTTTCCTGTCTATGATTAATCTGCTTTGTGGACTTTGCACAAAAGTATTGTCATTAGAAGTATGAAATGTGATGAAATCAGAAATGCTCTACACCCTGTCTATAGACTAAGCTGAGCTGATATAAGAAGAATGCAGGGTGGTGGATATAAAAATCTTCTCCATCTTTCAGAATCAGGATCAAATAGACCATTGCAAATATGAAATAAATACATAACCATCCAGGAAATAGAATAAATCCTCAGTAACACAGGTTCAAATATACTTAATGAAAATGTTGTTGCAAAGAAAATATCAGAATAAAATACTTAAGAAAGTATGGAAGTTACGGCTTACTTACTTGGTTAAAGTGATGATTAAATATTTGTCAGGTAAAGTGACATGGTAACATACAAAACTATACATGAATATTAGAGTGATAAAGAAAAACAATGATTTTAGGAACAGAACCATAATCTCTTCTATCAAGCTCAAAAAACTTTTTTTTTTTTTTTTTTTTTTTTTGTGAGCATTCTTAAATTCACAAAAAAAAAATACAGAGAGGAAAAAAGTACAATTGAATACTATCAATTTAATACTATTGAATGACAGCTACACAGCTACATCACAGCCACCGGCCACGAGAAGTGAAAACACCAAATCTGAACCAATGTAGTAAATAAAATTCCAAATGCTTGGAATGCAAACCAAAAACATTATTTTTGACTTACAGGTCAAAAAATTAGAATTGCCCTTAGGAGGACAAAACACATATACTTCAGACCAGTATGATTATATTTTTAACACATGTCAATTACATTTACAACCCTGGATACACATTTGCAATCTATCAGAATAATCTAACTAAATGAGTGTCAGATGTGATTAGAAGCAGCAGAAGGAGGCAATGCAGTTAGAATATCAAATAGGCACAACATGTTTAGCCCTTTTCTGCATTCTGTCTACCCAGCTTTACTATATGTTTGCCATAGCTTTCTGCCCTGGACTCTAGGGAAACAATCAAAAATGAGAAATGTAAGATTTTATAGACTCATAGCCTTTCTTTCATTCCCTAGCCATTTTTAACCCTTTAGATATTTCAGTTGTTTATGTCTATCAGGTCACAATGTGAAAAAAAAAAAAAAAGGTGATTTTTATATGCCTCACTCACACTAAAAGATTTTACTGTCATTGACTGTATCAGTAAATGCCTCAGTATTGCTCTTGATTAGCCTCTGGTTTTCTCTGGATTATGCCAAATTCACCAGCAACACTGAGGACAAAGCCTCCCAGCTCTTGGCTGTGCAAAGCAAGGATTTCAAGTGAGTGATGTTTCTTGCATTAAAACTGTTTGGACTGCTGAAGATGCAGTGAGACCTGCCACAAATACACAGGGGGTTTTGGAGCACAGCTGGAGGCAGGTAATGGTGACACTGCATACCCTTACCTTAAAATTAAGAACATTTATTAAATATGTGCTTATAAGGCCAAAATTATAACAGAAAAACATACTAAGTTAAAAAAGAATTAACATCTACTTGCTGCTACAGTGAAATGTCCCAGTTAGGGACTTTTCTGGATACCCTGGGCAGTGTCTTACAGAAAATATTGAAAATAGATAACAGCACAAAACCTGCCACCTATCTGTGCTTACCAAGGGCATTTCTTTCCACCTCCGTTCCTCCAACAGACTTTTTTTTTTTTTTTTTTTTTTTTTTTTTTCCCCCCACACAATGTCTCTATTTACCCCCTCAGGGAAATCCAAAGTGAGCATGTGCCTTTGCTCCACCTCATATCACATCAGCTCTCAGTCACGCACATTCTCACAAGCTCTTAGTCTGATCTCAGCTAGGAATCATTAACTCTGCTTAAACAACACTTTATAAAGGTATCACTAATATAATGTATGCAGTACACAGTCAAGGTCAAGCTGCTTAACATATGTGTTTGCTCAGGTGTTTTTGACTTTCTACCTGCAAAAGTGAGTATGTGGACTGGGCTAGCAAGTTTGATGCTCTAAGGGATAATAAATGGAATAATTGGGGGTAAGTTTCTTCAGCTGCATCCATGAAACTGGATTCTCAGACTGGGTTTTTAAGATTTTTTTCATTGTTTTAGAGACAAATTTAATTTTTCTTCTGAAAATATTAGCTAATATGTAGATAAAATACATAATGTTAGAGGACATTGCATTACTCGAGAAATAATGAAATAAATGTAATTTGCATCTGTACTGTAAAACATATGTAGAAAAGAGTAAAGTTAAGACTGCAAATGGAATTTGTCATTTCCTGATGAGTACAACTTTATAATAAGCTATGTTATTGCATATCACCAGAAAAATTGTCACACTTTTTTTTTTTTTTTTTAAATCTTTGTAAATACCATGCACTGAAAATTTACATTATATGGAAATCATAAATATTTTGTTGTATCCAAAATATTTTATTATGAATTCCTCTAGTTCAGTGGAATTTGCTTCACATTTATGTGTTAAAAGTGATGACTTATGTAATACATGTAGATGATGCACAGAGCCTACTCTATAACTGAGTTTAGGTGGCTCAAACTTCTTTAGCATTTTGTAAGAAACACATGGGCACAGGACCCTTTCTTTTACAGAAGCATGTGTGCTTGGATGACCAACTCAGTTACAGTTTCTATAACAATAAGGAAATTAACATATATATTGGTAGGTTCCTGCAATAACCCATCTGAACAGAAATTTTGACTGTATTTGCACCATGAAGATTCACATACATGTGGAAAATTTGCCACAAGGAACATTTTGTCTGAATCAAGATAAAATAAATGAATGCAGCAAAAGATAAGAAGAAAGACAAAACAGAAATAAGATCATGTGTTTAAGTATGCATATCCAAACTGTTTTAGAAAGCTTAAAATAGATTTATATCAGACATCTGTTTTGCTCTTGAATTTATGACAAGGTACTTCTTTCCAAACTTCTTTCTGTAGGTCTTAATGGGAAGAGAATAGGATCAATTTATGGATCAACTTTAGGAATCCATTGTAGGATTAAGAGGCTACCTCAGAGAAACTTCCAAGGTGTTTGCCTCCATAGCAAAAGAACGAATAAAGATGGACATGGTCCAAGGTGGTGTGATGTCAAAAACACAATGGCTGACCCTGATGTGGTAGGAAATAGGACAAGAAAGTAGAGCTTCAGAACAGAGGAAAGCATACTATAATAACAGACAGGACTATTTTGGCAGATGCGTTTTTTGTAGGCAGAAGAGTGCAGTGAGAAGACTAGTTAAAAAAACAGGAGAGCAACTAACAAAAATCAGTTGTGGGTTTTAGCAGCAGTGGCAGGAAAACACACTTTGGAGGAATAAGTGGCCAGAGATGGCTTTATCATGGCAACAAAGTAGAAGGAGGAACTGAAAACTTTCTTTAGTGAGTTTAAGGGTCACTCTTTCCTACCAGGTGGGTTGTCTGAGCACACTACACGTATTTCCTCATGGCGACCCAGTCTGAAGGTGGGAAGGAGCAAGTCATCCGTATAAGAGAAACATTCCTGTGCCTGCACACTAAACCAATCACTGCTTCTCCTCAGTTTATTCCCTTTCCTTTCCAGTGTATAACACAATTGTTCTATTTACCAAGTATTTCCCAACATGGTCTACATTTGCCTATGATGATTTCTATTTGCTCAGTGCTTAATGAATCCCTTATTTTTAGAATTTAAAGAATTTTGATTATTCTTACTGAATCCCCTAAATAATTGAAATTCGTTAAATCTAATCATATTACTTATTAGCTTAGTACTTTGTGAGTAGACAGCTAACTTTGCACATAGCCTCTGAGATGTTAGAACTTGTGAGGACACTGTCCTGGCTGCCACAAAGGTCAGCATTATCTTTTCTCTTCTCTTCTGCTGTGTGGGCACGACAGTGAAGGTGTTCTAACCTTGTTCCTTTGAATGAAGGGATTTTCTCTGTAGGGTATGTCCTATTTGAACACAGGTGAGAAGGGTGCTTTATAAAATGCATTTATGCTCAACAGGTAGTTAAAGAGCCTATATTACCAATCCCAGGGATGCTGTGTGTATGAATTATTTCTCAATAATTGCATTGCTTCTGAGTTAAATAATTTCCTTACCCATTTTTTTCATCAGTTTTCTCCACCAAGTCACAGGTGTGTTATCTAAATGCAAAATAGCCCTACAATTACCCTAGCACACTACAGTCTCTTCTCAAACTGAAAGTTTCCATCCCAAATTATGTTTCACAAATCAGCTTTCCATTCTGCAACTTTTCTATTCTCTTCATTTTAAGCATTAATCTCTGAGGTGAAATCATCTTAAACACTTTTTGAAATAAATCCTGCACAGGAGTTAACTTCAATTTCATCTTCTCAGAACTCATATATATCTTCTATGGATTTCTGCAGGCAGTAAAATGGCTACTCCATTCTGACTTTTCTCAGTAGCATGATGTCTTTTCTTTCTGTAGTATGTTGATTGTAATGTAACTCTCAGGGGTATTTTTATCATTATTATATATATATACATATATACTTTTTTTTTTTTTTTTTTCTAGTGTAAGAAAAAAATTGAGGAGAGAAGAATGCAGTGCTCAGGGTTATCTTTTTAAGAACTAGAAAAGGGCTCAGGCAACTGCAATTTAATGCTGCAATGCCTAAATCCTACACACTGAGAACCAAGTATAACATTTGCATTGAAAAGTGAAGTTGCAATATGAAGTCAGGTGTCCCTTGTTCCTTGTCCATGTTCCCTTGAATGCATGAAGAACATTTTGCAGCTATCAGCAAGTGAAACAATTTGGTGCTTAAATGAGTCCAGAGGAGGGTGAATCTACAACTCTTCTTCTGTTAGAAGCAGGCACTTGGTAGTTAGTCATCTCTCTTAAACTGAGAACATGAAGCCCAGTTCCTGAATGTGGCTACCAAGCTGGATGTTGACTGGTCTTTGCTTCCTATGATGGGAAGGGCACATAGCTGCTTGAGTGCAGCACTCAATTGGAGTGAGTGGTTTCAGAAAAGTGTCCAAGCCAACAAGCAGTAAGTCATTATGGAAAGATAATGTGTGTGTGTGTAACTTTTCTTTTTTCCCTGGTTCAGCCTGTCAGCCAAGAAAACAAAAGACAAAAGGAGTAAGCATGATACCAAACCCCGAAAGGCTTTTATCTTTCAAATCTTATTAGCTCAGAGCTTTGTGTTTATGACATTCAACTGAGAAAGAGTGTGCTGGAGGTTTTCTGCAAATGTGCTTTATTTTAGGTACTCAGAAAATATATTGTTTGACCTGGAGATAATTGTAAAGATAAGTAGATTCTCCCTGCATAGAGGATGCACAGAGACAGCCTAGTTATATTGCCTTAAAATGTTCAACTTGAGAGTAGAAGAACCTTCTGCGAGGTTCTGTGAGAAGAACCTTTCTGTGATGCTACCTTGGATTTAGAGTAGGAAATGTTTGTTGTTGGATTTATTTTTTGTCTTTCATTTGAAATTTGTGCGTAGTCACACTAAACTCAGCAAAACTAATTATGAACTTAGCAACAAGCACGTGAAAATTATTTGGAGGGCTTTGGACCCAAACTAACTGGCATGTCTACTTCATCTCCAAATGACAAGCTCCCTGGCTGCTTCTGGTCTGCTGGAAAAACCTGTGCAAAATTAAACTTTTTCCAACTTCATGCAAGAAAACTTTTTTTTTTTTAATCTTGATACTATGTAAATCCTTTAGATGGGAATCAGGCTGCATGATATAAAAAACAGGACTAGTCTCTTGAGAGCTGAAAGCCCTTCTACCTTAACTTGATAGTTGTTGATCACTTCTTTGTTTGCACGGGGACAAAAAATCCTAATGAGCATCTCTGTAAATTCAAGTGTCAATTTAAATATTATTGAAAAACTGCTCAAGACTTACAAATGTTCTATTACAAAGATTACACTATACTGCATAGTGGTCTTTAATAAGAACTGAAAGTGATTCACTTTCAGTAACATTTTTCACCTTTTGATTCCTATAAATTCAGCTAGCACACAAAATATACTTTTTTTTTTTTTTAAATATATGACTAACGTGACCTGTTAGTATTGTTATTACAATTATTTATATATATATATATATAAAAAAACCCTGCTACCTCAACCTAGCATTCTTAAGAAAAGGATTGACAGCCAATGCACATTGTTCATCAGAACAGCTGAGATCTACTTCCACCACAAGTCTTTCTCTGTTACTTTTAAAACATCAAATAATTTAATTTACCCTTCTATCTGAAATGGCATTCGTCATATCTATTTTTTTTTTCCATTTTCAATTCTTTTTGCTATTTTTGCTTTTGTTATTTCTCTGTATTTTTCTTATGTTTTCATATGTTTTTACATGTTTATTTTATGTTTCATATGTTTTTCATTTGTTTATGTTAAAATAGATTTTAAAGCATTTTGTATAAATGAATAACTAGAATCACTTTGTATTTCTTTACAATTCAAAATACTGAAAAGCTTTGACCATTCCTTAATGTGCTAAGTTTCTAAAGGAACCACAACAAACATTTATTAAATTGCATGCTGGCAGTTCTACTGAGCTGTTACTCACATGTGTAGAGTTAAGCACAGGAAAAAAATTAAGACCATAATCATCTTTCTGTATATATTTAGAGAATATTGGTCTAGAGGTACAATTTGGAGTCAAGTGCCAGATTTTTGGTTTGACAAAGGCAAAGCTGTCACATTACATATCTTTCTTCGCACCTGCTTATTGATACTAAAATTGTTGGCACCTTCCTCATAGAATCATGGAATCATTAAGGTTGGAAAAGACCTTCAAGATCATCTGGTCCACTGTATGAAATAAGCATCAACTTAAATAACTGAATGTGGACAATCTTATTGTAGCTTTCTGTATATTGGATTAAATATAATGCCCAATATACTACTAATATATATTTTAAATATATAGTTGTATATAGAATGTTTCTATACATATATAGAATGTATATAGAATTCTATATACATGTATATAGAATGTTTCTATATATATATAAATTATATA